CCATCTTATAGAATCATTTAATTAATTAATTGTTATAAATTTTTTTAGAACTTGTTATCCTTATGTTGTAAGCCGCCTAGAGTGGTCGAAATGACTAGATAGGCAGATATAAACAAACAAACAAACAAACAAACAAACAAACAAACAAACAAACAAACAAACAAACAAACAAACAAACAAACAATGATGATGAATAATAATAATAATAATAATAATAATAATAATAATAATAATAATAATAATAATAATAATAATAATAATAATAATAATAATAATAATAATAATAATAATAATAATAATAATAATAATAATAATAATAATAATAATAATAATAATAATAATAATAATAATAATAATAATAATAATAATAATAATAATAATAATAATAATAATAATAATAATAATAATAATAATAATAATAATAATAATAATAATAATAATAATAATAATAATAATAATAATAATAATAATAATAATAATAATAATAATAATAATAATAATAATATAAGCAGTTGCAGATCTCAGAAATCACACCACTTACATTCTGCGCCAATATTTAACAGACACTTAGGCTTTTGGTTAAAACTTGTGTCGGTTACATACCAGTCATCATCATCATCTTAGAACTGAAGAGCTGGAAGGGACCTTGTGGATCATTGAGTCCAACCCCTCTCAAGGAGGCCCAGTGGGGAACTGAACTCTCAACCTCTGGGACTGCAGTCAGATGCCTGAGCCACTGAGGTATCTAGCAGATTTTGCTCATCCCAGTTGGCCAAACGAGTTTGGGGTCTGGATTTTTTAATCGATCGCTCGATCAATTCATTTATTTGGAAAGCTTATATACCACCCAAATTAATGCGGCCACTACTTGGGTCGGTTTGCAGACGTGAAGCCATCCAATATCAACCACCAACAATAATAACAAATAAATACCTTCTTGATACTTAGTAAATCAAAACGTGAACACAAAAAAGAGCAAACCCCCCAGGTGACACATGAAATAAACTCTGACCAAATAATAAATCATAATAAAATAAATAGTATATAGAATTAAAAAAGTAACAAAATGTTACAACGGACACAAAATATGAAACAAGGTCATGAGAACATTTTAAGATAAGATGTTCTAACAAAGTTCAGCCTTTTAATTATAATTCTTATCATTATTTTACTACTATTTATTTTTCCAGTCTAATGCAGGTGCTAAAAAAAATGGGAAAATTAATCTCAGCAGATTCACAGAGTGTCTCGTTCACTTTGTAGGTCTTGGTGTCACCCATATTTCCCTTTCTATTGCATAAAGACAGAATCCATCAAAAGGGATAAATAATTTATCCGCCATGTTGGAAGCAGTTTTTGATTACAGTCCAAATAAGGAAGAGAAAGACTTGAGCAGTCCTCAAGCAGGAAGAGGTCCCAGCGCTACCCTTCCTGTGGGAGATGGTGATTCCTGGAATGGAAATCTGCAGCAGGTTCAGGAGGAGTCCCTTCATGGCTCATATGTCCAGCGCCGGAGCTTCTCGCAGTTCTACTACAAAGAAGCGGAAGGGCCCCGAGAAGCTTGCGCCCGACTCCATGAACTCTGCCATCAGTGGTTGAAACCAGAAAGGCACACAAAAGCTGAGATCCTGGACCTGGTGGTCCTGGATCAGTTCCTGGCCATCCTTCCCCCGGAGATGTCCAGCTGGGTGAGGGAATGTGGAGCGGAGAGCAGTTCCCAGGCGGTGGCCCTGGCTGAAGGCTTCCTCTTGAGTCAGGCCGAGGAGAAGAAGCAAGAAGAACGGAAGAAGAAAGAGAAGGAACAGCAGGTGAGAGCACCTGATCACATGATCAGGTTCAGAAATCTGAAAATATTTTCAAAGAGGGAAGATGTCCCCTCAGACCATCTCATTTTCTATTCAGATTCTGATACATCTATTTCTTTAAAATTCCCTCTGTTTTTGCCGGTGCAGGAGATGCTCTTCGCAGAGATTCCCGAGGCAGAGAAGATTCCACCAGAGGCTGGTGAGAAGCCGCAGTCTAAGTGGACCACGCAGGACGGGGAGAGAAAACCCACTTCAAATGGATGAGGATCAAAGAAGGCTTTTCCCACCTTGGGCCACTCCCCTGACCTGTGCCTAAATGGCTTAAGGACTTTAGACAGTTTTACATCTCCTAAGCTGCTTTGAAAGGGCAATGTCTGTAAGGCAGGGATGTCACCTCTCCCGTAAGGGGTAGAAAGAGCAGCGGATTGGCCTCATCTGTGGTTGATATCTGGCCCCACGAAGTGACCCCAGAATCTGTGAGGAAGAGCCTAGAGACACCTGGAATTTTACCATTAATACAGAAGGGGGAACTATATATATGGTGGTACCTCGCTTAACGACAATAATCCGTTCCAGGAAAATCACTGTTTAGCGAAAATAAAAACCCAATTGAAACGCATTGGAACCCATTCAATGCGTTCCAGTGGGGTAAAAACTCACCGTCTGGTGAAGATCCACCATACGGCGGCCATTTTCGCTGCCTGTATAGTGAAGAATCTGTCCCTAAACACAGCGGGGAGGGTAACAGGTCACCTAGAGGCTCAGTAACAAGATGTCCCAGCATGAATATTTTGGCTTGATTCTGTTCACAGTTCAAGTTAATCTGCTGCTCACCAGTTTGGGTGGTGGTTATACAACTTCGCTGAGTGGAGTGGATAAAATGTGCAGAGGAAAAAAAAAGGAACTCTTGACGACGACTCTTCATATTTGCTTGTGTTCCTTGCAGGAGACACAGCGTGGACCCCACAAAGCCGTCCAAGCTTTGTTGTTAATTCCGCTACTTGGGCAACAAGCTCTGATAAAATGGACCAGGTAAACAGCTGAACGATTAAAGGTGAAGAAGGAGACAGGCTGAGGTGGGGGGGGGCTGTCTCCCTGCCCACCTCCCCGAAACCTGCATGAATTCTAATATTTTTTTCCCCTTTGAACACAGATACCTGTTGGAAAAGTCCATTCGAAAATTCAAAACCCAGCCTGGCAGCCTGAGCAACATCCATTTTTGTTTCTGGTTGGGGTTAGCCTTGTGTTCACATTACTATGTGTCTTCTTTCAGGTAACTTTTGAGGAAGTGGCTGTCTATTTTACTGAGGAGGAATGGACCCTGCTGGATCCGGACCAAAGGTCTCTGCACACGGAAGTCATGGAAGAGAATTTGGGGACGGTGGCCTCTCTGGGTAAGGTGCCCCTTTTTCATACTGTGAATCAAATCAGGCTCATAAAATAAAATTGTAGCCTCTTCCTGCCCGCTTGGTAGAATGAAGTTGGCTACTTCACCTTCTTCAGCGTGGCTAGATATTGGGTTCCCTTCGCAGGATGTCCTTAAGTGGCTGATCTTTGTCAAGGTCACAGTGGTTGGTATCAGATTCAGAGGCTCTGGCGAGCAAGGCCCGCTCTACGATGAAATCGCTTGGCAATTAGGTTTTTGCGATCGCAAAACAATGTTTTAAATGGGATTTTTCGTTTAACGATGATCGGTTCCCTGCTTCGGGAACCGATTTTCGCTTTACGACGATCAAAAACAGCTGATTGTCGGGTTTCAAAATGGCCACCGGCTGCTTAAAATGGCTCCTCACTGTGTTTTTGGACAGATTCCTTGTTTTACAGGCAGCGAAAATGGCCGCCCCTATGGAGAATCTTTCCTGGATGGTGAGTTTTCAGCCCATTGGAACGCATTGAGGGATTTTTAAGGTGTTTCAATTGGCTTTTTTATTTTGCTTTACGACATTTTCGCTCTACAGCGATTTCACTGGAACGAATTAACGTTGTTAAGCGAGGCATCACTGTACTTTGTTCCACCCCAGCCCTAGTGACTGCCTCTAGTTACCAACAAACATGGAAGGTGGAAAGCTGCCAGAACAAGTGATGGATCACCCCCCCTCCTTTGTAAAGCATCCTCCGGTTGCTTGCCCACTCCCACAGGATTGCTCACTCCTGTCCTTCCCCCTAAATGGCCTGTAGATACAGAAAGAGGTGGAGCGTTCAGAGGGAAAGGTGAGGCTTTAGAAGGGAAAAACTACCACCACTCTCAGCACTTCCTGGAAAGAGATGGAAAAGCAGAGTGAATGTGCAGATGAGGATGGGGAATATGAATAGAGAATAAAGATAGGCATGAACGGGGAGCAGAGTAGTTCGCGATGGTTCGTTGCTATTCACGAACCATGATCTTTCACAAACTTTCCAATGAAAGGAAATGAAGCCAGCTCTAAAAGAGCACTTTCCTGGAGGGACCTGCTTTGGGGGCAGGGGGGCCTTGTCCCATATCCCATATCCAATCTTCACCAAACATGGAGGGTAATAGTTTGGCATTTTGTTTCCTTCTGAAACGAACTATGAAACACCAGTTTCCGGGCTTTTTTTTTTTGCTTTCTGGTTCATTTCATGCCCATCTCTAATTGAGAACTGGTGTTTCTCTAAATACTGGGGTTCCCCTTCCAGTTCATTCTGGAGCTGTAAATCACCCGTTCTCCTTTCTGAGTTTCAGAACTGGGAGATTATCCCCTATCTAACATAAGGATTTTCCATTGATGCCTATCGGCAGTATCTGGTAAGGCCACCCCCACTTTTAATGCCGGTCATCCTTCATTTATTTCAAGGGGTGGGACATACAAAGTTTTTAGACTGCAGCTCCCACTGTCTCACGATCGGTTCCTCTGATGAGTGTTGCAATCCATCAACCTCTGGAGGTTCATACGTAGCCCACCTGATTTCTTTTTTTAACAAATTGCCCTTTGTTACTGACTGAAAAGGACGTGGTGGCACTGGGGGTTAAACTGCAGAAGCTTCTGTGCTGCAAGGTCAGAAGACCAGCAGTCGTAAGATCGAATCCAAACGATGGAGTGAGCGCCCGTCGCTTGTCCCAACTCCTCCCAACCTAGCAGTTTGAAAGCATGTAAAAATCCGAGTAGATAAATAGGGACCACCTTGGTGGGAAGGTAACGGCATTCTGTGTCTAAGTCGCACTGGCCATGTGACCATGGAAGATTGTCTTCGGACAAACACTGTCTGTGTGGCTTGGAAACGGGGATGAGCACCGCCCCCTAGAGTGGAATTCAGTGGGGTCTTGACTTGAGAACTTAATCCATATTGGAAGGCGGTTCTCAAGTCAAAAAGTCTGTAAGTCAATCTCCATTAACCTACAGTGCATTGAAAACCGATTAATCCCGTAACAGGCCGTTTTTGTTCCATTTTGGTTTTTTTCTGGTCTGTAAGTCAAATCTCAGTCTGGAAGTCAAACCCAAATTTTGCGGCCAGAGAAGTCTGTAACTCAAAAAGTCTGTAAGTCAAGCCGTCTGTAAGTCAAGGGTCCACTGTACGACTGGACAAAAATTGTCAAGTGGAACTTTTACCTTTACCTTACTGACAATGCTTCTGAAACCACTTAATGTAAGATTAGACATGAACCTGTAAATTTCTGCCCATAGGCTTGTAATCTAAAAGGCATTAAAAATGAGAGAAGAGGGGGTGACGATGCTTTGTTTTTCATTGCCAGAAGTGCTGCAATAAAATTAATAGGAGGCAGTGTACATTTGGGAAATAGTCTGTATAAAAAGAGGTATGAAATGCTAGTTTACAGAATAAAATTGTAAAGCTTATGTAAGTGCGTTGGGCGTTGGATAGTTTTTGCCAAATAATGGGAAAACTCAAGACCGTTTGGAGCAGTTTACAGCAAATCTTCCATAGTACATTTTGAGGGACACAAAACACATTGGCATACTTGTTCCTCTCCACACCTGCAAAGAACTCTTGCGGTGTGAGAATCCCATTTTCTTAGGTTCACCTTGGTTCTACCCAACTTCTGTCTGTAGCCTATAAAAGTGACTTCCAAGTAACACATGTCTCCATGTGACCAAGAGCTAGACATTCCTGGGCTCCCCTCCATTTTAAGAGGTAGGTGGTTCTTCCTTTCCACATCATAGTCCTGGCATTGTCTGTGGTTGCTTCAAGATTCACTTATGTTATTTAAAAAAAGTAAACATATCTGGGATTTTAAACTCGGAAAAGTGGGATGGTAGTTGACGTGTGGATGTTAATTTGATGTACAGTGGTGCCTCACTAGACGATGATAATCTATTCCACTGAAATTGCTGTTTAGCGAAACCATCGTCTAGCGAAAAGCATTTCCCCATTGGAATGCATTGAAACCTGTTGTCTAGCAAAGATTGGCCATAGGAAAGCCGCTTTGCGAACCGCCGATCAGCTGTTTAAATTGCTGTCTTGCGACGCTTAGGTTCCGAAAACACCCGTTTTGCAAGTGTGGAGGGAGCTGTCAAAATCATTGTCTAGCGAAAATCGGTTTGCGAAGCAGGGACCAAACATTGTCCAGCGAAATTCCCCCATAGGAATCACTGTTTTGCGAATTGCTATAGCAATCGCAAAAAGCCAATGTCTAGCGAAAAAACTGTCATGCGGGGGAACTGTCTAGCGAGGCACCACTGTAGTTGGTTTGAGTCACAATTAGCTGCTCCTTCTCTCCGTACGTTTTCTGGAATGGAAGGATCAGCCAACAGAATATTGTCACCGTTGCCCAAAGGACAACATATAGAAATGTATCTATTTTCTTTGGAGAAGATTCTTCCACGTTTCCCTTCCTACAGAGTGTCAGGGGACACAACAAAAGAACTCAACAGCCTCATTTTCCTTGCCAGTAGCCTGCTGAAATTGTTCCTCCTTGTGAGGTGAATTAAGTAGCCATGTTTGGTCTTTGACCCCTGTCTCTTCTCTCTTCGGCTCTGACCAAATGGTTCTCTTTTTTTCTCCTCTCCAGGAAGTGGTGGGCAAGAGGGCGCAAATGAAAGACACAAAGGAAAGAAGAGGCCTTTCCAGACTTTGCAGGCTAAATGTCATTGCCTTGAATGTGGAAGAAGTTTCAGTTGTAAGTCAAGTCTGAATCTTCACAGGAGAACTCACACAGGTGGGAAGTCTTTCAGTCAGAGCTCCATCCTTAGGATACACCCCAAAAGTCACACAGGGCAGAAATTCTTCAAATCCACGATGAGCGGAAATAGTTTCAGGCAGAAGACACACCTCATTCGTCATCAAGCAGCCCACACAAGAGACAAACCGTATGGATGCTTGGAGTGTGGAAAGAGCTTCAATCAGAGGTCAACTTTGATTACACACATGAAAATTCATACAGGGGATAAACCATTTGTGTGCTTGGAATGCGGAAAGTGTTTCAGTCAGAGGTCACATCTCTTGACGCATGAAGTAACACACACAGGAGAGAAACCATATACATGTATGGATTGCGGAAAAAGTTTCAGTCAGAAGACACACCTCACTTGCCACCAAGTAATCCACACAGGGGAGAAACCATTCAAATGCTCGCAGTGTGGAAAGAGCTTTAGTCACAGGTCAAATCTTACAGCACATGAGAAAATTCACACTGCAGGGAAGCCATTGAAAAACTTGTATTCTGAGCAGAGCTTCAGTCAGAGTTCACATCTTATATCACATGAAACAATCCACACCGGGGAGGAACCATTCAAAGGCTTGGAGTACGGAAAAAGCTTCAGTCAGAACTCAGCTCTTCTGATGCATCAAACAACCCACACAGGAAAGAAACCATTTAAATACTTGGAGTGTGGAAGAAAATTTGGTCAGAAGATGTACCTCACTTGTCAACAAGTAACTCCCACAGCGGAGAAACCGTTCAAATGCTTCAAGTGTGGAAAGTATTTCAGTCAGAGCTCTGCCCTTAAGATACACCAAAAAATTCACACAGGTGAGAAACCGTTTGAATGCTTGGAATGTGGGAAAAAATTCGGTCGGAAGTACTACCTTACTTGTCATCAAGTAACCCACACAGGGGAGAAACCGTACGAATGCTTGGAGTGTGGGAAGGGCTTCAATCAGAATTCACACCTCATATCACACCAGAGAATTCACACAGGGGAGAAACCGTTCAAATGTTTGCAGTGTGGGAAGGGCTTTAGTCAGAATTCACACCTTATGTCGCACCTGAGAATTCACACAGGGGAGAAACCATTCATATGCTTGCAGTGTGGGAAGAGCTTCAACCAGAGGTCAACGCTTAAGAGGCACATGAACATTCACATGGTGGAGAAACCCTATAAATGCTTGGTGTGTGGGAAGAGCTTTAGCCAGAGTTCACCCCTTCTGACGCACCAAAGAATTCACACAGGGGACAAACCATTTAAGTGCTCACATTGTGGAAAGAGCTTTAGTCAGAATTCACACCTTATGTCGCATCTACGAACTCACACAGGGGAGAAACCGTTCAGATGTTTGGAGTGTGGGAAGAGCTTCAATCAGAGATCAACCCTTAAGAGACACATGAACGTTCACACGGTGGAGAAACCATTTAAATGCTTGGAGTGTGGGAAGAGCTTTAGTCAGAGTTTACTCCTTATGTCACACCAAAAAATCCACACTGGGGAGAAACCATTTAAGTGCTTGGAGTGTGGGAAGTGCTTCACACAGAGTTCAATGCTTAAGAGACACATGAATGTCCACACGATGGAGAAGCCATTTAAATGCTTGGAGTGCGGGAAGAGCTTTGCTCAGAATTCATATCTTCTGTTACATCAGAGGATTCACGAAGAGGAGAAATACTTGGAATGTGGAGAAAGTTTCAGTCAGAATATGTATCTCAATTGCTATGAAGCAACTCACACACAGGAGGAGCCATTTAATGTTCTTTCGGAGACAGAAAGTGATGTAAGCATGGAAGTTTGGAAAGGGATGGTTAATAGCCTGGCAGCTGATGAGAACTATTAGATGCTGAAAAGCCATTTATATTATATCCCCATAGCTCCCATTAGTAGATATTTGAGAAATCTCTCTCTCTGTTTAATTAAACTTAGTTAGGATAGTATCAAATAAACCTGTGGGATCGTGAATTCATTTAAGTGTACCTGATGTAGAGCCAAGCTTGCTTTTCAGTGTGACTTTTGAGTGCTGTCATTAATTTATGTTATACAGTGGTGCCTCGCTTAACAACGATAATCTGTTCCAGGACGTTAAGCGAAAACATCATAAAGCGAAAAGAACCCCATTGAAACGCATTAAAACCCCTTCAGTGCGTTCCAATGGGGTAAAAACTCACCGTCCAGCGAAGAACCTCCATACGGCGGCCATTTTCGCTGCCTGTATAGCGAGGAATCCATCCCTAAACACAGCAGGGAGCCATTTTAGTTACCCGGTGGCCATTTTGAAACCGCCAATCAGCTGTTAGAAAAACATCGTTTTGCGAAGAATCGGTTTCCGAAGCAGGGAACCAATCATCGCAAAGTGAACAAACCCTATTTAGACCATTGTTTTGTGATTGCAAAAAGATTGCCGCAATGCAGTTTTGTCATAGTGCGGGGCAATCGTTAAGTGAGGCACAACTGTATTTGGGAGTAGTTTGCCCAGAATGACTGCCATACCTTGGGATGGAGTTAAGAGTTCCAGGAAACCATATTACCTGTCCCAGACATGGAGTCCTGATGAGTTATTGACTTGTTAAGTATCCCCTCAAAGATTTCTCTCAAAAGGACTTCTACTAAGTCCCTCAGTTTTCTCAGAAGTAACTGTGGACCTTGATGTTGTTTTGGCCTCCAACTTCCTTTGAAGTTTCCTCAGTTTCTTCAGAGGTAACTATGGCCCCTGAGGTTGTTTCCTCAGAAGTAACTGCATCTTTGAGGTTGTTTTGGCCTCTGGCTGCCCTCTGCTTTGTCTGGCAAGCCAAATGGTGAGAGAATGTGCGAATAGCAGGCCATGAAAGAATTGTAGGGCCACAGTCATGAGCCCTGTCCGAAGGCAAGCACTGGAGTGTGTGTGGTATATGTGGAATTTCTGCCATGTGCAGGATGTTTTAAGAACTCAGTTTGAAGGTGTTGTGGAAATGGTGAATGAATGTCAGATATCTGAGGCAGAGAAATGGAAGCGGCTTAATGTGTTGTGAAACATGTTTGGAAGGACAGAGGATGTTGTGTTTACATTCCATTTTCTTAACACTGTGGAGACTCTTCACCTCACGTTCTAAACACGTCAACATTAAATTACTCATCTGCCAGTTACTCCAGCACTCGTACATACTGTTCACTCAGCCACAGTGTCCGGAAAGCACCACAGTGCCCAGAGTATTCACACTGAGTAAGGAGACGGAACTGACCGAATCAAGCAAAACATTAACAGAGCTAGTGTCCATGTGGCAGAAGCTGATTAACTCTCCAGTGTTTTCTAATGACGCTGATGCCAGAATGATCAGAAAAACCGTGGAAGGATTGGCCATTGTTTAAGTTTTCTTTCCCACGATACCAGAGAAGATACTTTGGTTACCAATGTGGGATAAAAGGAGATTTAGCTGCAGTCTCCTCAGCAAAAGAGGAATGAAAAATTCATTGAGGATAAAGGAAATTTAATGGGATCCTGCAACATTTGCTTTTACTGACCGTTTTGCACGTGGCATAAGGATGGAAAGACTGAAAAGTAAACTTCAGATGCAAGCACAAGGGGGAATCTAGCCCATCTAGGAGAAGGAAAGCTCTGATTCCAAGCCTCCACTGTCTTGCGGCTATATCCACTGATGGAAAAGGCTTCAGGAGTTAACTTCGAGGAAAAATCCAGAGCCGGTGTCCTGAAGGCAGTTCATGTCGTTCTGGCAACTCCTGCGACATCTCTGGAACCAGTTGTATTGGCTCTTGCCTTTCCATTGGACCATTTCAGCAACGTGGAGAGGGGGGATTTGCTGCTTGGGTAACACCCTATCCTCCATATTATTTTACCCAGGCTTCGTGCTCTGGAGAGGACACTCCAGCTTCGCATACAGTGTCAAAGTCCTCCATACAGAGCACATTACCATGGTCTCTCGAGACTGAAGGATGCCTATGAGGAGGATTGCTTGTGTCGTGGTCTGGCACAATCTATATCCTGGTGATCGCACAATATACAGTCTGACTGATCCATCCCCAAGTTGGACCTTTTGGATCCCGCTGTGGAAATATTATTTTTAAGTCAAATTAGAGGGATTTTCTGACCTTCATTGGCTTTAAGAAGTTTATTAACTAATGCTTTTCCTTGGTCTCTTTTTTCCCCTCTCAAGTGTTATTAATCATCTTATGTTTCTTCCCATATTTGAGAATATACACTGAGCTGTCATGATAAATGTGCTGTTAAGTATCTAGCTCTTTTTATTTAAAGGATCATTTGTATGATTTTATTAAAAACTGTAAGTTTGTGAGTTAATTAGCTGTAACTGAAGTGCTCGGGCTGATTTATTAAATGTGTGTAGAACAGCCTTGGTCAGTTATGGTTGTTTCATGAAGAACTTTGGGAAAAGCCATTTAAACATGGATAGATCTTAAATACAAACAGTTAACTGTGAAATTAAAAAGGTCACAGGTTCATTCATTTCTCATACTTTATGATACACACAAAATTCGCCTGTGGGGGAAACATGTCAATGTTTTGATTGTGGGAAAGGCTTCCCTTGTAAACTGTGTCTTAACTGTCAGCTAATCACTCATGCAAGAGAGAAATCATTACATGCTCAGATAATTTCTGTTCTCTCCATGGCAAATTCAGTCTAAAGCAGTGTTTCCTAACATTTTTGGAGCCACAACCTCCTTTTATAATAGCCAAGTAACCCCTGAACCCCTGCCACATTTGCATAAAAAGCCATTTTTAATGAGGTAAAGAAAGCCGCCTTGGGTCCTTTTCAGGAGAAAGGTGGGGTAAACATATTTTAAATAACCTAAATAGATTTTTCAGAACATCTTCCTTAACCTAATATTTAATGTGATGATTGCACTTGCATGTCAGCCATTCATTTTGAAGCCCTTTACTTGCCCCTCTGACAATCTGTTAATGGCCTCTGCAAGGTGGAGGTAATGAGAATGGATTAAATTAGAATTTTACTGAGGGGGGGGGGCAAATTTTCCCTCAGAAAGGGAACCATTTTCCTTTTTGTCCTCCTTTCGAGTGGTGGGTCTGCTGCCATGGTCTCGTCAGCAACCCTCCCTAAAATGGCGGTGGTGGCGCATGGCTGAAGAGAGGAGGGTGGGAAATCATTTCAGGAGTGGCAGCAGCCTTTTTCCTCCTTCACCACCATTTCTCCCTCTCCTCTTCCAGCTTGCCACTGCCTCCTTGCCTCTTCACCCATGCCTAGGGTTGCCAGATACATGTGTATGAAAAGGAGGACATCGAAAGCCGCCTATAAGACAGCGGCCAACAGAAAACGGCAAGAAGGGCAGGGGACCAGGTCTGGCTTTCCACCCGTAAGTTGGACCCTTGGTTTATAGGACCCTATTTAATCACGGACCAAATCAACCCTGTTGCTTTCCGGTTACAACTCCCAGCTACTGTCCGTATCCACCTGGTTTTCCATCGGTCTCTCCTTGTCCCTGTTGCGGCACTGGACCCTGTCCGACCTCCACCTCTGGCTCCACCTCCACCCGTTTTGGTCAATGACAAGGAAGAATACGAGGTTCGTCAGATCAACTGTAGCAATTTCATGTACCCTTAAAATATTACACCTTCTCTCTTCTGTATATCAGTGTTTTTTTTTATTTTATTTCTTGTTCCTGTCTTGCCTCCCATGCCTGTAACAGTATTCCAGTAACAAATTCCAAAGTTAAATCTGTTTCAGCCATTGCTTCCATGGCACAAATTAATCCATCCCAGGATTCATCAAGAGATAGGGTTGCCAGATACAAAAGGAGGACATAGAAAGCAAAAAAGGACAAAGGAGGAGATATTGGGGGGCTCTGTGCACAGGGTGGGGGGCATGTCACTTTTGGAATTAGGTATTGGGGAGAATAGCTCTTTGATCATGGGGCAATACTATGACCATTCAACCTACTCAGTCTTTAAAAGGTCAAGACTGGGAAAGTTACCTTTTTTGGACTACAAAACTCAGAATCCACTCGCAACTGTGTTTTCGTGTTTTAAAAAATATTTTAAAAATAAAAACAAAACAAATCTACATAGACACTTACTGGGCTCCCCAGGACCAATGGAGACAATCTATTCCCTCCTTTAATGGAGACCCATCCCCTTATTTTTTTTAATTTTAATAAAAGCAAAAAAGTTTAAAAAGTTGTGTGACAGATTTGAAACACTTTATAAAAACTAGAAAAAAAAAGGTGTGGATTTCTCTCCGCTTGAGAAATGCAAAGGGTGGAGAAAATGGATTTGCAGACACATGCACACACACACACAAAGCCATTTTCTCCACCTTTTGCAATTTCTCAACCTGAGAGAAATCTGTGTGTGTGTGTGTGTCTGTGTGTGCCAGCCCCCACACACATGGGGGGTAATTCTGCATATGCTCCTGGACCTGGAAACACACTCTGCACATGCCCCAGAGTCGGGGGGGGGGCAGGGCAGAAGGGGGGATAAAAGAGCCTCCTGTTCCCTGGCTTTAGGAGGAAGGAGGGCCCGGCCCACAGCGCCACCACGTCCCTCATATGGCTAACAAGCTGCACTCCTGAGGAGGGTGGATGCATCTTGAGTCCAGACTCGTAGAAGAGTTTTTGCCTCCGGATGGCATTGCTCTCGGTTTCTCTGACACACTCAAACCCACTCACTATGTGCAGGCGTGCCCCCAATATGAGCTAGCTCCCTAACTATCCTCAAATAGCTGTATTACAATAGAGATAGCTTGCAACAACATACTGATCTTGGGGAAATCCATGTCTGTATTAGGAATCACGAGAATTTGCAGCGAAGCTCCCAAGAGAACCACGAAGCCTGAAGGGGTGGGTAGATGATGTCTTCCCGTCTGCTGCTCAGAAGACCCTGTGGCTTTAACCCTGAAAGTCCTGGGAACACTACACCCCTCTGCATTTCAGTTGGGGAAAAATAGGTGTCTTGGGGAGAAAATGGTTCATGATCATGTTTATTTGGGCCCAGAACTGGGTATCCTTTAGTCATGTGCCACTAAAGACATAGCAAGACACCTCAAATCCTGGCATGAAGCCAGGACTGTTTGTCTTCACTAGTGCTTGCTCAAGGTGTGTGAGAAAGATCAGTGGGAGATGCCTTGAACGAACAT